TCGGTTGAAAATTCAGATTTTCATTGAAAATCTTTGTAGGATTTTCTGTGAAAATCCTAAATAAACTGAACACTTTTTGTTAGTTATCAATATATGTGACTATATTTATAGTTTTTCAATATATGTGCCTATGGTTTTATTTTATTTTAATTTTCAAAATTCAGTCTCAATCATAATTAGAGGATTAGTAAAATCTGACATTCCAAATTGTTTAAAGGGTAAATTGAAAGGGAAAAAAAAATCTGTTATATAAAGAATTTGCAAATATTCTATGGTGTTTAAATAATAATAAATAAATAAAAATGACTTACAATTTCTAAATTGAGCAAGCAAAAATATTTTGTAAAAATACCCTTAAGACAAAATAAAATCATAACCACTTATTTCAATTTTTAAGAATATTTTGAGAATTTTATTTAAAAAATTTATCAAAATTAACAATCATCAAATATCAAGGGACAATTTGGACATACTTTGAAATGTTAGGGATCATATGTACGTGTTAAATAGTATAGTTTTTCTATATATTTTTTATATAGAGGTTTTTTTTGGTTGCACTTTGTTTAAATACTTCTAACATTTTTATATGAGAGTAAAGGACAATTATGTCAAACCAAAAACTAATCTGACAAAAAGCAATCATAAACTACAAAATAAAATAAAATAAAATTTTTCATATAAAAAATTAACTTGTTAAAAATTAACGAGTAAATTATTTTTATTTAATTTTAATATCTTTCAATAACAAAAAACTAAAAAATACTTTTTAAAAACTATTCTACATCCAAACCAAACAAACGGAGCCCTTAGAAATTTCGTCTCGTTTCGATAATTGTACCTTCTAGTTCTACGGTTCTGCCCATTAGACCCCTATATGGCACACGAACCTGACCTTATCCCTGTTGATTTGATGTATAGGTTCAATCCGAACATTGGGCTCTTCATGATAGAATCTCTTGAAGCCCAACTATAGTGGGCTCACCCATGAATATTATTGATAGAAGGCCAGTCCAGAAATGACTTGCATCAAATTTCTCAAGAACCCGTTCATCAAAAAACCCAAGTCTTATCTTTACGAAATTAGGCCAACACTTCTTATAAAAAATCTAGTACGTTTGGTTTCACGATTTAGCAAGTACTGATACCGGATTACTAGGGGTTGGATAAATAATATGAGAATTTGCAAATTCAAGAAAAATGAATCTCAGTTTAATGTTGAATGATGTCTGTATATGACTAAACTGAAGATGGAATATCCTTATATCCTCCATTAAATTCAAAGTTGATTCATTTATTTCATAATCCCGGATTAAATTAAGTTTTTTTTTTCTTAATTTCCCTTCTTTTATAATTCCTTGGAAGACAAAAGAGAGTGAACACCTATGAATTAATCTGACTTCTCCTCTTATCATGATTTTCTCATCCTATGACTTGGGATACACATGCCCAATGAAAAAAGACTCCCCTCCCATTGGATAATTTATCTCATTTATGCCATAATTATTTCATTTTAAATAAGCAGGCTATTTAGTGAGTATTGCACATCCCCAACTTATTATAATTTAGTGATACTATCTCCCCATTTAAAGTAAAACCTTGAATTTAAAATTTTAAATTCTTAAAGGGACAAAGTGAATGTATGAATTTCTCACTCAAAAGAAAAAAGTTCACAGCTAAATATTAGAGCGTATGAATTATATCGAAATAGAAGAGAATGATAGAGTATTTATGGTGGGTGTGGTCCTCGTGGAAGAAAATTAGAGTAAGATATCGGAAATGCTGACATTATTAATCTGAAACTGAATAAAAAGATTGAAAAATGAGATGTAGAAGAAGCCTACACCAGATGGTCTTTCACAATTATATTTTATAAATGGTTTATGATATTAATTTATTGGTACTTCATATTGATTATTTGATAAATTACTCTGGGTTTAACTAATATCATCCAGGGTCAATCATATATTTAATTCAGCACCTCGTATTATTTATTTATTTTTTTCTTTTCCAGGAAACATTTGTATGACCTCCCATAGCTATTAGCTGGATGTGGGTCATTAAGTATTTGACTATTACCATGTGTTTTGCTTCAGAATCTCTAGCTTAATATTTGTTCATAACATATACTACCATTAAAATATATATATGTTTTTTTTAAAAGTGTTTTTTGTTAATTATGTTCATAGAAGATAGTATTTTGATGCAATATGGACATAGAAAAAAATCTACTAAGCCTGCCCTTACGTTAACAATTATATTATTTCTAATTCTGAATATACTATCATCTTGGAATCTTTGATTGGTGTGTTTTCCCTTAAGATCAAAGTAAATTTTCACATAAACAATCCCAGATGATTATTTTAGTATTCACTGGAAACCCATTCAACAATTTCTAATCTCCTAGCTGACATCCGAATCCGTCAGAACTGGTCAACTCTACATGAATGCCAATGTAGTCAAATTCTATCATGTTACTATATATATATATATATATATATATATATATATATATGACAAACGCAACGAATTAAAATAGAATCAAGAACTACGGGAGAAAAGTAAACACACAATATAAAGAATACAAAGATTTATATGTGGTTGGGCAATAGTTTACGTCCACGGTTAGGATCCGATGAAAGTTTTTATTATATGTAAAATCGGAAATTATAAGTTTTCAACCCTTCACTCTGTTTCTGTACCAATTTCAAAGTCTCCCTCTTACACCACTCCAAACCCTAAGTGCCCTTATATATCGAGTTACAAAAGACTAATTAGAATTCACGAACCATGAGCAAAAAACGAATTAAAAATTTTCCTCATCTAATAGAAGCAAATTCGGACCACAACATCACAATATATACTATATTCTTCGATAATTTCCAAGATCATAATGGGCAGGAGGATTCCTCTTTTTAAATTTTCCCATCTTAGATTAATCTCAAACTCTTCTTTGAAATACTACTATTCTGGTTTGGTGACATGAAATTCATGGCTTGAATTTTAAACTAAGTAACTTTGAACTAATTTTGTCACCAATTTGGCTTGAATTTTAAACAAAGTAAGTTTGAACTAATTTTGTCACCAATTTCAATGCGTGAATTCCATATTTCTAACGAGTAAAAAATTACAATCTATGTATTAAATATATTCTTGCGAGTTTATGCTGAGATTCACGCAAATAAATAATCATAAAATAAATAATGATGAGCAGCAGCATTTTAGAAATCATATTTTATGATATTTGTTTTGATATTCTTAAAACGGTTACAAAGTGATTTGTCAGTTATATAACTAAAATTTTAGTATATCAACCGTTTTCATATGATTATTTGATAATTTTACATTTTTTTGTTTTCTTTCGTAGTACTAAAAAGTTAAATCAACACATGAACAAGCGTGAGAGGATTGGTTTTACTTCACTTTGTTAAATTCGGCTACACAAAATTTACATTCAAATCTAATAGGTGAATACATAGCAAATAGTTTATTATTCAAACTTATCCTTTAACTTGTTTCACTAATTCACTACTAAAACTCTCAACCTCACACTAGCAATTTAAAGCTTGTTGTTACAGATGTGACTTCTACTTATATATACATCCTCCTCCCTCATTGATGGTTAGGATGCATTATTAAGATTTAGTTTGCAAAGTCCTCCTCTCTCTATTTTTTTACAATCATCTCAAATCTACAAATTTCTATTAACTTTTAGATGTTCTAGAATCCTTATATCCTACATTTACTACCACGTATCAAAAAATACATTCTGACCGTCCCCAGAAAAAGAAAGTAGTAGAAGGAAATAGACAGTGCAAAGTCTGATAGTACTAAAAACATTTTATGGGGAGTATATATATGAGTATATTCGAAATTTCACACTTGTAGTGTAATCCTAGTTTTTTATGTAAGCTAGGTTAGTGTAATCCTAGTTGTTTATAAGTATAGTGGAGGCTACGTTGTTGAAACAGTCTACAATTCCTTTTGTTTTTCCATTACATATGGTAGAATCTCGGATCATTGTTTGAATTCTTATCTAATATAGTAAAATCTCCCATTAAAAATTGAGTTTTCTTGTTTGAAAGCATTTTAGAATATATCTTGTTGCATAACGGTGGGCAAAGATGAGATTTTGGGGATAGAAAATGCATCGGTTAGTAACATGAATTTAATAATGCAATTATAGTGGAAGATGTATATAGATAAGTAAAGATGCCACTATTTCAAGCAACCACGACATAGGACCAAATTCTATCACATCTCTACATATAGGTTACAGTGACTTGAATGAGAGAGACGTTTATATACTATATATATATATATATATATATATATATACTTATACATATGAGAGAGTAAAAACAAAAAAGAAGATGCGAGATAGCGAAAGGAATGAAGTTAATTCCTCATAACTTGTAGGTTTATACAATTAGGTTTCTCTTTCTCCCTCACACTCAGGTTGAACTCTGCACGCCAAAGATACCCAATTTTTTTAGCAAAGTAATAGTAGCTGGCAAGACCTCTAACAATCCAACTATACATATATACACAACACAATATACAATTGCTTAATTTGCCAAATAGCAAGATATATGGCTTCATTTTTAATTTCACATTTGACTGAGATACCCTTAAAATACTCATTCATTGCCATTCTGAAGATTGATTCTACATATATGTGTGTGTGTATCAACAATTATATTTGAATAGTACATCATTCAACCTAATAAATCAAATTTTATTTCATATGTTTCAACAATTGGGAAAACCCTAGAGGCTGATTTTCATATTCATTTCGAACAACTACCACAACAAATTGTTGAAGTAGAAGGTTGAAAATAGCTATTTTAGTGGGCAGAAGCAATGCTTGACATATATGTCGTAATGATATAATTATGTTGGCATTTTGTTTCATTTTTGGGTCTACTCAATCACCATTCAAGAAGGAAAAATAGTAAAAGTAAAGCAGCCAGTGAAGAATTCAAGATAAGTAATAATGGGAAATAAAGATACATCTTAACCAATAATATCTTAGGATAAATTAATGTGGATTTCTATCATAGATTAAGACAGGAACCAAAATAATCAACGACTCAATAATTCCAATAATCTTTTAGTCATCCTATTTCACTTGATACATAATATTTGATAAAATAAATTACTGAAAAATTTCACCTAGGAATTAAATCAAAGTAGGATACATTTGCATTAGAAATGGTGCTATAGTGGGTGGCGGCTGTACTAGTGGAAGGTGGGGTGTACAAAGAAGAAGATGAAGAAGTGGGAGGAAAAGGAGGAGGTGGAGGAGGAGGAGGAGGTGGTGGTGGTGGCGGCGGCAATGGCAATAGGGCTGATGGTGGTGCAGCAATTGAAACAGCCCCAGAAGAAAGCAAAGCTAAATGAGATGAAGGAATGCTAATATTAGTGTCCCTATATGTGTATCTCAGTATTTCAGACCTTACTACATTGAGCTCAGCTTGTAAAGATTGAACTTGTTGTTGCAAAGCCGAAATTGCACCCATGCAACCATAAACTGGATCTCTTAGCCTCACATTAGCCTCATAAACAAGACTATTTGCAGCATCAGCTCTTTGGCTCTCCGGGACCTCCTGAATTAATCAAAAAACACAAACAAACTATCAATTGATGACAAAAAAACAGACTATCAGTTCCGGTAAGATAACTAGTCACAATAATTGGGGAATTAGGGTTTACCATCAACATCTTCGAAACATTACTTGCACCAAACACTTTGTGAACAGAAGCAAACTTTTGTGGTTCATGTGGAGAGAAATAAGGAGAGAAGGGGCATTCTTGAGCACATCTTCTTCTCAAGAGCTTGCAGGCGGCACAAGGTGTGATTGTGTTTAGGGTTCCAGGAGGCCCCAACATATGTCTCCTTCCCACCATTTGAGCCGAGGCATCGGTTTCTCTCTTGATCTTCTTGCCTATATCTTCAAATCTCTCCCTGCCAAAGAAGCAACACATATATGGGGAAAATATATATATATATATTAGAATTGTTCTGATATAAATCATATAATAGCCTAAAATGGATCTATTTTTGAAGTAATTAGGGTTTTTGATGCATGTTACATACAATTTATGAATAATACCATATGAAAATTGTATTTCCATCTAACAAAATAAAAAGGTTTTGGAAGCTGATTTTCTTTTCTGTATATATATATATTTTTTCCCTCTCTTGGAGGTTAATTATAACTTAAAACCATGAGAATCTGTCGTTTTATTACCTTTCTCTGGACATTCAGATCTGTCGTTTTATTACCTTTCTCTGGACATTCAGGCATGCTATACGTAGAGCTATAGTTGTATGTGTGTGTGTGTGTGTGAGAGAGAGAGAGAGAGAGAGAGAATGAACTTGGGGATTGGGGAGAAGAGTGCTTAAAAGGCAAGAAATATTACAGGAAGAAGAATTTAGCAGACAGAATGGTGGGATACGAGTAGGGGCTGAAGTTGGAAGATGATTTGGTTTGTTTATTTGTTGTGCTGTGGACCTTGGTTTATATATGTACGAGGATTTATGTTGCAGAGAAAGCAGTGGAAATAGAGATTATAGTGAGCATCTGGCACACAGAGAGAGCGAGAGAGAGAGAATGTGGTAATCTATAATTAACAGTTGTGTCAAATATTGTTGACTTTTTGAAGCAACCATCTAATTTGGCTTAACTGGATTGCTTAATGCCTTCAGTACTGCTAGCTGCATATATATGCATGTTGTCTTGCTTCTTTCTAAGGAAAGAACTAATTGCAAGTTTAATTATATGTGTGTGTGTGTGTGTATATATATATGAATTTAATTCTATTGTTGTTAATGAACCATAGAACATACTTATAATGGCTTGAGCGCGCAGAAAATTAAGATCACTATAAGCTGTATTTGTTAAGGCAAGAAATGTTAGTTTCTTGTCAGTATCAAGAACCCATCTTTCTTGTCAGTATCAAGAACCCATCTTCATTAAGAAGACAATCTCTCGTATATATCTTGTTTCATCAAATATAGATGCACTTTGTTTTCAATATTACCTAGCTCACTGTAGGACCGGGGTGAGTAGCCGGGGGTTTATCTGGCTACAAGTCCAAAGAGCGAGTGGTTGTGAGGGTTCTCACATTATCAAAAATAAAAAATAAAAAAAAATTACTACCTAGTTCATATGTATATATCAAAGGGCAATTTATATATTTTCTTTGAGAAAATTGGCAATACAGTTTCCAATTTTATTTTTATTTTTTCAATTCCAGTGGACTATTTTCTTAGTCAATCCCAATATATATATATATATATATATTGGGTATTACTCCATTCATTCCAAAATTCTTATTCCACTTTTTATTTTTGGTTGTCCCAAAAATCTAGTTCTAATTAAATAGTCAAGGTAGAAAGAAAATTTACTTCCCATAACTATCTCATCCTTTTAAAAACTTAACTCTCCAATTAGGATTCACTTTAATGGCTAGTTTTGTAGGTAAGTTAAAACGTGTTAATATAACAATTTTGGGATGGAGGGAATATTTTTCACTATTTTATAATACACTTTTTTCCTATTTGATACATTACAATTTTGTCAATTCATATTTCCCAAGTTCTTGCTGCTAAGTAATGTTTGATTGGGCGGCTTCTATATCTAATGTTCATAGTTGAAGTAGTACATTTTCAATGTAGGTCATTACATGTTCACTCAAAGTTCAGAGATAGGGATTGTTGTTTTGGCTTTGAGCTATGAAATTGTGGAGTGTTACTTCAAAGTGGGTGGTGATAGGGAGGACAAAATAGGAGAGAGAGGGGTATATTTGGAGTGACATTAATTAAATTATGCAATGAAATTTGCTTAAATTGTAAGGAAATGCTGCACCATCCTCTTCTTGTTTGACCCGTATTTTAAGGCAACTAAGTCGCCCCGTTGTTCTCTCTCTGCCCCCAACCTAATTAAACTCTCTCACTTCACTCCATTCCTCTCTTCTCGTTAATTTCACCCAAAACCAAAACTAAAATCACCCATTCCCGCCAATTTATACACTCCAATATGGGTTCGTTTGATTAGATGAAAATGAAAAGTAGAATTGAAAGAATGTGGAGTGAATGAAAATAAAATAAAATATTTAAAATTTAGAGTATTTGGTTAGCATGATTTTTTTTAAAGAAACTTGTGAGAATATCTCATTTCATAAGTTAGACATGAAAGTTAATAGAAAATAATATGATTAACCTAAATTGTCCATTTCTAATTAAATATGACAATAGGTCTAAATAAATTTACACTTAATATATATTTTATTTTTAAGAAAATAAAAGTAATATAAGAATCTAAATAATAAAATTTTGTGATACGCAGAAAGAGAGGTAATTATTATAATATTCTTACCAAAACTCATGCACAAACATAATTTATTTTAGAAAGTGCAGAAGGGGTATAATTGGAATTTCATATAGTTTTCTCAAGAAAACATAATTTTTCTTTTCTTGCTAACCAAACTCTTAAAATTAAAGTTTGAAACTTTTCATTTTCTTTTCCTTTCTTGTCTTAAAATTAAAGTTTGAAACTTTTCATTTTCTTTTCCTTTTATTTTCATCTAACCAAACTAAGCCGAGGTTCTGATTTAGTTAGAATAAGCGAGGCCAATGTGGCTTAGGGTCTATTTGGTTAGATGAAAAATTTTATGGAAAGTGAAAGTAAGGAAAATTAAGTTTCCATTATACATTTGGTTAGCAAGAAATTTTTTAAAAAAAGTTGCGAGAAAATATTATTTTGTTAGTTTGGATATTATGAAAAGGAAAAGAAAATGATTGTACTTACCAAAAATACCCTTATAATTTTAAATAGTAAATAAATTTATGTTAGATGAATATTATTTCTACTTAATTATTTATTTTAGCAAGGAAATAGTGACATATGGAATAGACTACTACGTGATATCATAATACAATTTTTTGTATTCTTCTCTTTCTCTATATATATTCACTTGTTAATTCCTATGTAGACTTGAATTCTAGATCTTTTATTTTTTAAGGTAAGAAAAATAAGCTATTTGTTACCTCCTTATGTTAGTTTTGTTTTTGTTATTTGTTTGTAAATAATGTAATTTGGATACTATATATATAATTATATCTAATTACAACTAATTCTCACAAGACTGAGAAAATTAAAAGTCATGACGGATTATGTAGACTTTTTAAGAATCATCAATTATTTATTTCAAAATAATGTTTGATGCTAGGTATGAAATGAATTGTGTTAAATATGTATACATATAGTAACTCTTAATCATTACTTACTTATTTCAGACCTTTCATAATAATAATAATAATAATAATAATTCAATAATGAAAGATGTACACATAAAAATACAAACAATTAAATTAGTAATATATGATTGTATAAATAAGCAATTTACTGAAGAAAAAAACTCCCATTTTCAATGAAGTCTGTGTAATTAAGTAAAGAAAAAAAGAGACAACCAAATAATAGGAAAATAATATATAAAGTGCACAACTTTTGAGGAAATTGAATTTTGTGTATTTTATGCACGAAATTTTTTGAGGAAAATAAATCCTACTTTCTCAAAAACTTTCACTTTCTCTCTAACCAAACTTCCAAAAAGTTTAAATCTTTTCCTTTTCTTAATAGTCACTAAAACATAGAATCTCTACCCACAAGTCACAACACAGTTTTTAAGCTTCATGTAAAAGTTTTACTAAGCTAAAATTGTTTTTAATAATTACCAAACATTTTTAAATGTAATTTTTAAAAATAAAAGCACTTTTAATTAGAATGAATTGTTGTACTTCATGGATAATTCAAAATAATATGAAGAAACTAGTTTTAAGATTACTGACCACCCAAAATTCCTAAGAGACTCGGAAATTAGAGACCCGGTGGTCCGTTGCCTTAGCAGCCCATTAAAGAAGGCTAGTCCACTAATTGAACGGTTTTTGGGCATTGCCTACGATAAGTTATTACGCATCAGATATTCTGCGTGAGCCCCAGCGCCCATGCATTTGTGCCTCCTGGTTAAGTAAAAAGTTGTTCATTTGTGTGAGATTATAATTTTCATTTACGTTTTTTAGAGGCCCGATAGATGTGGGACGGAAGACTGAATGTGTTTGATAATAAATTATAGAGTGTTTTGAGAGATCCGATACCATAATATATATATATATATATATATATATATATATATATATATATATATATATATAATTGAAAAAATTTACTTGTATTATTTATCATTTCTACAATTAAGATGATGACCAAATCCCATGCCAAATATTATTGATTTATCTAAAAGTTACAAATCACCCCTTCCCAGTAAATCAGTAAATCGTCATCAACAGCAATGAAAAATTATTACAATAATTTTATTTTTCAAACTACAAATTTAACAATTTAATGAAAAACTAAAATGATGGAGATTATTTTTTTAAAACAATTGGACAATGAGTTTGGGATTGAGCTAAAATTAATTACAAGAGCTAGCCAAGTGAGTCAAGTAACGAATAATGTTCTCACCGATTGAACTCGAGTCAAGCAATAAATAATAGTCTAACCAAATTGAAACATTAATACACGAGCTCAACTCGAACTCAAGCTCAAACAAGCAAAAGCTAATTAAGAAGCTCAACTAAGCTCATTTAATCCTTGATTTCATTTATAGTTTATCAACTAATTTCCTTTTTCCAACGAACATGCGTGGAAGAACCTCCACGCTATGGCAACTAATGATGATGTGAATGTGAATGTGAATGAAAACATAGCATTAAATATCCCATCCTAAAAGGGTCCCAAAATGGTGAATGCCAATTAGCCCACACACCCCTTAAGTGTATGGACCTCATTGAAGACAGTGCCCCATATTTATACCCTCCACAATTTAATTCCACAAAATTAATGCCACTGTATCTAACTAACCCTTCCTCCTCCTAGTTCCGTCTACATCGAGAAATTATTAAATATTCTAAAATTATATAATTCCGGTCAATTCTATTATTAATTTGGAATCACATGGTCCTGAGACTCTTGACATATATCTTCTACCTTCCATTGTTACATTGTTAATGGCAACATTTGAATTCAAAACATTGTGTCAATGCATATATAATGTGTTTACATGTGCACAATGAACTTTCTACTACTTGGTCACATGTTATGCAGAATATTATATCTATATGTAGAGGGAGAGAACAAAATGGCACCAATATGAAGCAAAATTAATTAGAAAAACAGATTATGGATTTAATTCAGCTTGGGATTTATCTTGGTAATACACGCATATTTTGTTTCTTTATGTGTTTAGGTAGCCAAAGCCCAAATTAAGCAATACAAAATATTTGAGAACTCAAATTCTCTCCGACAACGATTTTCGCTGTTTACATATGATCAGTGAATTTTACTAATTTCAAATAGTAAGTAGTAAAATTCACTGGAATAATAAAAAATCGTGACAAGGAGAGGATTTTGATTCAACTACATTTCACACCCCCAAAACTCTAACTAATTAACATGATAAATGATATACAAAAATCAACATGAACACACAGAAATTAATCACTAAGCCCTACCATGGCCTATCATGGACAGCAAAGCCTTCTTTACTTTGATTTTGGAACATTGACCTCCAAACTCTCCGGAAATCCCATGTGTAGGACCAAAACACAGAGTCGAAGTAGGCGACCCAACGGCTTGCTTCTCGTTGTCCTCGATCCCGAAATGGATGGCTGCCCTCGAATGAGAGAAACAACGGCGAAATCCATGCACGCCTGGATTCACCGGAGTGGATGGAGACGAGTACGATGACGAGCACGACGAGGAGATAGAAGAAGACGACAGTGCTGACAGCGATGGTGTCACATGGCTTTTCCTCGAACCCATCCAAGAAAAGATGGAGTGAAGAAAACTGGACTTGGGAGGTTTTCGAATTTGCAACATTTTGGAAGTTGATTGATAGGAAGGCGGAGGAGTGAGAGGAGGGAGAGGAGTGTGTGAGAGTGTGTGTTTCGGGGTACCTGGCCGTGACTCCCACAAGAATGGTATGGCACTAGAGGCACCTCCATAGTAGAGGACTCTGAAAGATGACTCTGGTTTGGTCCTTTCCTTGGACAAAAGCCTATTGAAGAACTTGTCTTCCTGCTTAATTTGGAGAAAGTTTTGGGGGTGTTCATGCCGACCACTACTGAACATTTTTTTTTTTTGTGTTGTGGACCTCTTGAGTTTAGATCTACAGATGAAGTAGATCTGTGTGTGTGGCTCTAGGGTAGAGGTCTTTGGGATTGTGTGTGTTAAATTGAGGTACTATTTAAGGGTCATGATATATAGCAGCATGAAACATGCAGTTTTGAATTTTAGTTGCATGATTTGTCTCAACACGATGATATTGACCCAAAGTTTAGATCTATAATCAACCATAACTTCATATATTGATAGGGAATGGATGAGAGATTGAGGCCAATTATTTCCACTTAGATATTATATATACTTGTTTTTTTTTAAATTAAAATCTCCAAATTTTGCAGCCTTATTAAATAAATATTTAATGTGATAGCTACTGGCATACTAATAAATATATATATATATATGTGTGTGTGTGTGTGTGTGTGTGTGTGTGTAATATTTATATATTTGATGGATCTAGATCATTGATGACAACCTTTATGTGGGCTTGTTTTGGCCTTCCTTATCAATTTCGATAGGAAAAAGCAGTTGAGAAGTGATCAAATTGGTTAGAGATGAGGTTTGAATAATAAATGAGAAGTGTGTGTGATTCATGACTCCATTGAAAAAGCTGGTTTCGTGGTTAGACTAAGCCAGCAGCTCTCTGTCAAAATGGTGTATATATATTTTTGCATGTTTGATGTTCCCTACCGCCTCATTAGTCAAAACCAGCAGATTTGCTAAGACATTGCAAATCGAATTATCAGTTTTCTTATCCGATAATAAACATAAAATTACGGATCATTATTAGATATAATGATAAACACAAACTTGGTACAAATTCCAATTCAAATTTTAGATTCAACTAAGCAAATTAATATTAGACAATTTCAAAATCTGTGTGTGTGCAAACTGCGCAATTAAATAAGGAGTTATAATACGGAATTCGATCGTCGACTATTTTAATGTGGATGAATCATTGATATTATAATGACGTCAACCTTTACTCGCATCAAAGAGTTAAATTAGTACAATAGTGACTACACATTATTTTCTTTTTCTTTAAAAAAAATATGTGTCTAGCTTACGGAATAAGAATTAGAATTCAAATCTCACTTGACAACTTTTGTATATTAGTGTTTAATTGATAATGAAGATTTATTAGTCATATTAAATTTGAGGAATTGAGACAGTGAGCCTCAATTTAGGACTATGAATGACCTAATTTAAGAACATATAGACTTAAATTAAGCTGATCTGATTGAGTCCGACCGACCACCAATTTAATTCATGCGACATAAATAATGAAGGAATTTAAACGTCCAACCACTCATGGGTGTGTACTTTGAACTTCTCAACGAGTGTTCAGACACAAACAAAATAAGGTTACAGGTTTAATCTCTGGTTTTAATTGAATGGTAAGAGGTTTGAAAATTACAGTTTATTTATTTTTATTTTATTTACTATTTAATTTTTGAATAAATTATACTAATCTCTTCTTAGATTTGTTATTATTACACATATCTCCCTTATGATTATAAAATTTATTCTGACCTAATTGATAAAGTGCTCAGCTTCTTGAGCAAGTGTGCCTGTGTTTGAATCTCTCCTCTCTCCCTAGTTTACTAATAAAAAAATTAAAAACATAACTATGTTATTTAAATTTTTTAATTTCACTAATTTTCATGTTATTTAAATTTCTAATTACCAAAATAACAAAATCTATTATTCTAATTTTTATATATTTGTTTATATATATATATATATATATTGAATATATTTAGGATTATAATTAGTTGGGAGACGTGGGATCACGTGTAAGGATTGTGAACCCTCGAATAGTGTAACAAACAATCCTTCCTAAATGTTGATATCACTAAAAACAACCTAGTAACGTGGAGGATGTCATTATTTATATTTTGTGTCATTAAATTTTAGTGTTGTATCATAAGTGTCTTATTGAAAAGCAAAAAAAATATTGTGATTATAGTTTTCATACGGTAACTTTTATATGTTTCGATATCTTAGTGAATTAGTGCATTCACTTTATTTTAAAGTGTCGGATTTCAACTATCTGCATCTATTAATCTAACTTAGTTAAAAACGACTTCACAATAAGATAGTTTTTAAAAAATAAAAATAAAAATTTGTGGATCATTACTTTCCTAGTTTTATTTTTATGTTTTTTGTTTACAAATATTACGAAGCATGTAATGGACTCTGTTCCACTGTATCATTGATCATAAACAAACTCATAATATTATAGTTAATCACATGCAAATTAATTATCACCTAAGGTTAAGTAATACTGAATCTTGGGGGCGTGTCTTCATGCGGATTCGACGGCTATAGAGACTGTCTGTAAATCACATGCAAGTTTCTTGAAGCACGTGACTTTATCTTCATCTTCCTCACCATATGCATCATCAAAGAATTTCTTTCTTTTTGATATCACAAAGCAAGAACAATGAAAACTTAAGTTAATGATGTTTGATAAGAAGGGTATGGCCAACTCCATCCATATATAATTCAAAATTTAATTTTAAGCACCGACAATAAGAGTTGAACTCAAAAGCTGAATATTTTTTCGACTCTTGAATGCATTAAGGTGAGAGTTTGTCGGTGCATATCTAGCACCACTCTGATTCAAAAAATTTAAAATATCAAATATTGGAGCAATGTGAATGTACTTCACTTATTAAATCAACTAATTTCATTTAATTTATGATATAACTAATGATTCTTTTTACCTACTGCTATTAACTTATCAATTTGGAATACAACTTTTTATTTCTACTTTTAATTTTGTTGTTAAATAATATGTAATACAACTTTTCTCACTCTTCTGATATCTAGAATAATACTTATGATATAATTAATAAATCTTCTAACCTACTACTCTGAACTTATCAATTTGGAATAGAACTTTTCATTTTTACATTTATTTTTGTTAAATAATACGAAAGACAGGTTGCCTCACTTCTCTGGTATGTAGCTAGAATAATAATTGTAATTCTATAATAAATAACAAATTTGTTAAAAAATAATAATAATAAAGACAATATTAAAAAAATTACCTCTTTAGTGTATTTTATAATTTCCCGAAAATTGATCTCATTTACAAATTACAAGTGGCCAACGTACACGTGATTCACACCGTATTTGATTTTGGCTGTAAAACATATAATATACTAAAATAGGTATACAAGCTGTGTTGGACAGGAAGATGTGTCAGAGTCTGAACAACTTGCTTGGTCAAATGATATGATTTTGTAGTGTTGACCCGAATTTTGTTTAGGTCCGTAATCACATTGAAATGCGGTTTTGATTCATTTTCTTATGTGAATTGCGGACTTTGTTCTACAACTATTTTGTAGCTTGACATAAAAGTAAGTTGCTACTTGAAACGAGCGGGCAACACATGTTTCATACAGGTATTTTCTAAGCCTCCATCGTTAGGTTTTTTACTTGAGTTTGGGTGTAAATATATAAAAATAGAATTGAATACTTATAACTGATCGTGTTCGTAATTTCTATCGAATTCTTTGTTGAATTACGTAAATGTTTGTGTGTAATATTTTTATTTTTTTTATCGATTTCTTAATTGTATTTGTAACTTGTGGTATTCAACGCAACAAAAGTCGATCGCTTGTGGTTTAATACTGATATTTTCTAAGCCTCCATTGGTGGGTTTCTTACTTGAGTTTGGGTGTAAATATATAAAATAGAATTGAAGACCCATATCAAATAAGTGTGTGCTAACTAATAGTAGCTCACTATATGGTTGGTACCATTTAATCATTTCTGTAAGAGAGATCTTTGTCATGCTTGAAAGACTAGTCACATTTAAGAATTAAATTCTAGAGACCATCCCATGTTAAATTTACTCATTCTAATGCGTGAACATACATATATAGTCATTGACATATTTATCCCCACACACATATACGGACCCAACGTGAGATCAATGGGAGTGGATCAATTTTTTATATTCTCATTTTATATCTTAATTTTTTTAGAATTGATGAAGATGTCTCTATTAAAATTACAATTTATTCTCACTGGATTTTTTTTTTTTTATTTTATACTTTAAATTTTTAAGAATTTATGAAAATTCTCCAACTAAAATTACAATTCGGCCCCACTAATTTTATTTTTTTTTTATTTTTGTATTTTATACTTTACATTTTTTAAAATTTATAAAAAAATCCAATTGAAATTATAAAAATGGACTCACTGTATAAGTTTGTCCCCACAAATTAAAAGTCCGCTCCCTCTTCATAAAATTTTTTGAATCCGTCACTGCCTACACATACTTAAATTTTTATACATTTATACATAAAGGTAAAGATTTCTTAATATGTACTTTTGTTATATATTATTATTGTATGAAATTGAGTAAACTGTCCATGTTGAACAAGCATGTTAAACTATAAGGAGGCGTTTGTTCGTCCCTCAAAACTCTTAAATGAAAGGTACTGCATGCACATTTATATATACCACACTTTACTTCTTGTTTGAATACGGTGTGGGACAGCTCATTAATGTATTAGGTACCGGAATTCTTTCTTTGCCCCCACTATTTTTCGTTGGGGGAACAAAGGAGTGGTTTCAAATATATATATATATATATATATATATATATATTATGTCCCAACGTTTCAGATCACATTCCGAAATTCAAACCTTAGAAGTCACATGTTTTATTATAATTTGGATTGCTACGGAGTACAAAATGGCTGCCTGTGGTTGATTTTTCAATGACTGGGGTCCAAGGCTTTGTCTGCTACACTAAGGAGGAAATATAAAATACAGGATAATATTAGTTATAAAAAATAAAAAGAAATGAATTTTGGGTCGATTAATGAGAGGAAAAAAATGGGAAAAAAAAATATATTAATCTTGAGTAAAATGATAAGAAAATCAGTATACACAAGAGGCTAGTACGCGCCTTCTTTGTCCCGCTAAATCTTGTCATTTCTCTCCATTTCTTTAAAACAAATAGAAAATATGATTTTTTTTATTTAATATTTCCTTTTACTGTTCCTCTCACTTCCATAAATTCTTAATGACAGTGATAATGAGTGCTTTTAAGGTTTCCTCCAGTAATATTTCTTCGTCTTTCTTTTTTTTTTTTTTTTTTTAATGTAATGTTATGTTTGGGAACACTCAATCGGTACTTTTAATTTAAAATTGAAACAAATTTGAACT